AAGAAGGAACGTGGCAAGTAACCACAGAAGAATTATTGAAAGGGGGCATTGGGATCCCTGAGTCTTATAGCTCAGTGTTATAGCCTCCTGGCGCCACCCTTTTCAAGCCCCATGTTAGGCGCCAGCTCTGGTCACTGCCATTGGCATCCGCTCCTCCATTCTCATGGGCATCAAGGCTGCTCCTGCTCACCCTGGGCTGAGGCAACTCTTCTGATCGCCTGGTGCTGAGGCAGGTCTTCTGCTTGCCTGGCACTGCCTCCAATTGTTGCTGCTTCTGCCCAGTACTGGACCCCAGGGCTGGTGAGGAGACTGTGTCAGTGGAGCTGCATTCAGACACAGGAGACGAGGTTCAGTGACACAGATCTGGTTTATTGCAGGAAGGCAAAATTTTATATCAGGTAGTGGTCCAATGACAGCACAGCAAGTAGGATACCTTACTAGCATAGCAGACTTAGTATCTTATTAACATAAGAGACTTAACGTCCTATCACAGAATAGATGGTATGATGCCTCATTAGCATACTGGGTTTCAGATTACAGAGCCTGGATTCCTGGAAACCATGTGACCCTGACTGTTGCATCATCTACGTGTTGCAATTTTGGATTCCAAGGGTGGTGATTAGGGAGTGGCTAGCTCTAACCATTAGTCTCATGATCTGCCAATGGGATCAAATGTCACAAGGTGTTCTTTGTGGCTCCAGGGGTCAGGCCGTTGCCTCAGGCCTGCTGTATGTCTGTCAATAAGACTTTCACCCTAGGCACAAGCCTGTCTCCCACATATAGTCATTCCTTTCTTCAGCTCTTTGTATTGCTTCCAGAACTCTCTGAAGGGCTGGTTTTGTGGATATGAATTCCTTCACCCTACTTATGTCATGGAAGATTTTTCTTTCCACTTCGACTAGAATAGACATTTTGGCAGGGTATACTAATCTGGGTTGGCATCTGTGATCATTTTAAATGGGAATACTTTCGTCCTGGCTCTCCTGGCTTTCATAGTTTGCACTGAAAAGTCAGCTGTAATCCTAATGGGTTTTCCTTTATATGTGACTTGTTGTTTCTCTTTTGCAGCTTTCAGTATTGTCTCTTTGTTTTGTACATTTAGGGTTTTTACTATGATGTGCCATGGAGAGTTTCTTTTCTGTTTGGTGTTCTATATGCTTCTTGTATTTGTATGGACATGTCTTTCTTTAATTTTGAGAAATTTTCTTCCATGATTCTGTTGAAGATCTGGTCCATGCCATTATCTTGGAATTCTTCTCCTTCCTGTATGCCTATGATTCATAAGTTTGGTCTTTTTATAGTGTCGCACAATTCCTGCATATTCCATTCTAGTGATTTCTTAAATTTTTCCTAATCTTTGCTTGAGTGGTCTAGTTTATCCACTTTATCTTTCAGTCTTGATACTGTGATTTCTTAAATTTTTCGTAATCTTTTCTTGAGTGGTCTAGTTTGTCCACTTTATCTTCCAGTCTTGATAGTCTGTTTTCCATTTCATTCATCCTATTGGTGAGGCTTTCTCCTGTCATTTTTAATTGGCTAACTGAGTGGTTCACTTCCTTCTTCATTTCAGCTTGAGTATTCTTCAATATTTCTAACTCTGTTCTGAATTCATTCAGATGTTTAGTCCTATCTTCCTTCAGTTCTTTGATTTCTTTGTGTGTTCTTTAAACTCACTCAATTCTTTTATCATGTTAATAATTGTTCTTTTGAGTTCCATGTCCTGCATTATCTCTAGGGGGTTCTCATTGTAATCCTCTAGAGGACCATTGGTATTTGGTGGGGATATGCTATTTTGGTTTTTCATTTTATTATTTTTTTTCTGGGATTTTGACATGTGAATTTTTTGTAGTTTCTGATTCTTGTTTGAGACTCAACCCTTACAGTTTTGGTCTGCTTCTTTTTGTGAACTTTAAGTGTTTTTGTGGTTTAATTTTGGACATGATGGTTCATCTTAACTTCCATTTCTTTCTTTTGATTTTATATTGGAGTGGCCTGATTGCTTTTGTCTTCAGTAGTTACCACAGAGGCCTAATGCAGATGAGGATCAGATGTTTTCAGGCTTTCTCCTAAGGTCGGGATCCCTCCAGGAATTATTTTGGCCTCAGGAATTTGGGGGTAGGACTGGCATGGGAGACTAGCCCAGGAAAGATGCTGGTATAGGACAGCTGGTGGCTGTCCCACCCAGAGATGCAAAGGGAAATGGGGTGGGAAGAGGCCCCAAGCACTCCTGGGGACTGCACTGAGGAGCTGGGTTGGTCTGGATGCAAAGGATCAAGAAAAGGAAAGGTCAGCTCCTTGTCTCAGAAAGAGGCTAGAGGGTGGTGCTCGCCCAGGGAAGTAAAGGGAGGTGAAGCGGTGCTCCTAGGACCCAGAGAAGGCACTACATGGGTCTGGATGAAAAGGATCAGGATCCCCAGGTGTCTGGGGCCCCAAGACATGGAATGGGGTTGGGTCAAAACTCAGAGGAGAGAATGGCAGGGGAGATGGGAGGGGAATGGGGCTCGGGGAGTCAAGGCGCGAGGGTGCAATGGACTTACCCTGGAGAGAGGCCTGCGGGTAGCTCAAATATTTTTTTAAAAAGACTGTTCTTCCAACTTAATAGACCAAATCAATATATTGTCTCACTGGCATGACCAGAGGCCAAATATCTGTCACAGACATTCCTGGAGGCTTCTCTACTTGGGAATTCCAACCTTCTCCACTGAATTTAATACTACCCACCACAAAATTGAACTGGTTTTGCAGGTGAAAATGAGTTTGGAGAAGCTAAGTCATTATAGGTTCCAAGGCTAGCAAGTTGAAAATACATAAGGAATTTATCCCCCAACAGTCTATAGGTCAGAGTTAGGAATGAAGCATCTCAGTGAATTAATGACCAAGTTGCAGATTAGATCAAGAAATGTGGTCCAAGTGTGGTGATGCACATTTATAATCCCAGTCCTGAGGAGGCTCAGGTTTATTTTGAATTTAAAGTCCAATTGGGCTACATAGTGAGATCCTGTAAAGCAATGATGGCACACATCTGTAATGCCAGTACAATACTTGGAAGAATGAGGAAAGAAAATCAGGAGTTCAAGGTCATCATAGGCTATA